ATTAAAAGAATGATTTATTTGATTTTTTAAACAACTTCTACATATAAACTTTTTGTCAAAAACACACTATTTAACAGTTTAAAAAAATGTGCTAACAGAAAAACAAGGAAGTTAAAGTTTGGAGTTGAGAAAAAGAACTGAGCCTTAGCCCAAGGAGTTGTCGCATGCCTAAGGAACCACCCCTTAAGCTAGCATATGACAACCATCAAAGAAGCTAGGGAACAGTTGAACTTTCCTCGGTATAGGAAACAATAGAGGCAAGCAATGGTGGGCAGATGGCAACCCATAAGGCCGCCATCGATGTCGGAAACCTCCTCTGCCTCTTGGACTCCTAGCCCACCGCCACCTCTGCCAAAGTCTTCTGCCACTGTCACCACCGAGGATATCCTCTTCCACCCAGACTTCCAAGCCTCCGCCGCCCCTAGGGCCACCGTCGCCAATGGGATGTGCCTCCGCCTGAACCATCTTGCATCGCCGCTTACGCCTAGACTGCAGCCACCCCTAGGACCGCAGCCACCGCAACTGAGGAGGTCTCCGTCCGGACTCGTAGGCTGCTTCCGCCCCTAGGGTCACTGCTACCTACAAAGCCACATTCGCCTTGCCGAGGCAAAGAACGAAATCACATGGAAGACCAATGGTAAATTGGGGAGTTCAAAACGCTCGTAAGGAGTCCTATTGAAACCAAGAAATATAGGCCTGCTTGCCATCCACACCAGAATAGATGCGTCTGCACCGAATCACCGGGAATGATTAAAGCCCCGGCTGGGGTCCGGATAGCAGAACCAACAGAGGGCCAAGTGCCACTCAACCAAAGAAAGATAATGGAGAGTTGACTCCCGAAAAGAGAAAGGAGACTGATCTTAACGTTGGCGTCAGTTTGACGCTTAGGCCGCCGCCCAATCCTCCGCAGCACCTGCTGCTGCCGTCCTCCGCAACACCCGCCGCCACCTTCTCTCTGTGGAATCGGTAATTACACTAGATATTTTCAGCTGAACTCGATAATACATCACAACCAAGTAATCATGAACTGAAGTACTATCTAGCCAAAACTTGGTCCAGAGCTAAAGATCACATGAAGACATGTCTTTGCAAGGCACAGGAGTGTACTGTGGCATAGGTTCAATTCTAGATGCATGATTGTTTTTCAATTTTGAGATCCCCTGACCATGCTGGTTTTAGTTTCAGCGAATCCAGCGAACACAGCTATGAGATCGCTGCTCAACCCAATCCAGCGATCCATTTCAAGGATGCCACCTCGTTTTAGTTTCTTGCGGAGATCTTTGATGCATGCTGGTCATTCCCACACCATGTTTACACCAGTGGCAAAAACAATTCTATCTCAGGAATCTGGTCGCCTAAAAGAAAGTCCAGTGAAAAACAATGTTTTCAGTGTAAAATCAAATGTGTTTTTGATTATTATTCTGTGATGAACAATTGGGCATTGGAGATTATTGGTTTTGTTATTTGGAATTTATTCACGAAGTGGTTTTGGAGATGATTGGATTCACAGGTGATCACAGGGTTCATTATTTCATGTGACCGGTCTGACCGGCGCAGCCCGCGGTCTGACCGGCCGACACTGTGTCGGTTTCGGTTTCGGGTTGTTTATTTGGATATCCGAGTTTATTTTATGATTATGACTTCTAGATGGATACTATACGTATGTAATACTATTGTTTGCTGCTAATGAGTCAAGTTGGAGATAGCTTGGTCTCGGAATATGGTTTCTTTGTTTGTTCCATGTGTAGGTGACTCGATGTCTCGGGAGAGTATTTGCGGTGATGGACCGGGAGTCGGCTTGGGGATAAGACGACGTCCGTAGTGGTCAGAGATCATGCGGGATACTTAGGCTAGAGTTGATGCACGTGGTTGATGGAGATTCCGTATGGCATACGATGGAGTTATTGTGTGCGTATGGGATGCGGAGTCGAATTTGGAATGAGTCCAAATTTGGTACGTTTGGTTATGTAAAGTTTCTTTCTTGTACAAGTGGGTTTCCTAAGGTGTTTAGGACTCCTAGTATGAGTTTGGTTCGTGGCTTTAGGCTGCCTACCTCATGTATAAATAGAGGGGGAGCGTGAGGCTTCCCGGTATCGCTTTAGAGAGCAATTGAGTTGAGTTTTGAGTTAGGGTTTCGAGTTTAGTCGAAATTTTTGTAAGGAGTGCTGTTGGTGCACTTTGTAAACACAGAGAGAAGTAATAAAGTCGTCATCCACTTTAAGAGTTCTTCGATTTGTGTTTACCGGGTTTCGACGGTCTAACCGGCGATCTACCGGCGGTCAGACCGGCGGCATACGGGTGGTCAGACCAGCGGCGGCAACAGGCGCGGCAAGCAGCTTCGGCGGTCAGACCTGAGATTCAACACCGGTCAGACCGACGGCATCCACTCGGTCAGACCGGCAGATCAATCTCGGTCAGACCGACTTCCGTCGATTTCGAGGGTAACTTTTATTTCCGCTAAAAGTTTTCGGTTTTTGGGTATACCAACCATTCACCCCCCCTCTGGTTGGCTTAGTTCTTATGATTCGATCCTACATTCAGCACCAACATGAAATATATAAGTATGAATTAATAGAGCAATTATATATATTTACTTACAAGAAAAAGAGTCATGCAGAGAGCAATCCTGGTGTCTCCCAATCCTAGCTAGTGAAGTATAATGAGCTTAGACTGAATGATATCATAATATCATACCACTCCGCTTAATTCTTTCAAAATAAAAGGAGGGGGGGAGGGGGGGTCATCTACCTTAACGACCTATATTTTTCCTGAATGAAATGTTTTCCTTGTCGATTCGTGTGAAACCAAATTCCAACCCAAGCATATATATAGGTGCAAAAAGAGCTTAACAAACAGAAATTCTGTGTTATTAAATGTGTGTACTACCTTAAAAAACACAAGAAGCTACCAATGGCAAATAATTCAAACAAGGAGATAATTAAATGAGGAATTTGTGGTAGGCTAGAAATCAGGAATAAAACAAACCATTGGCAACCAACAGAGAAGCATCCCACTTGTTGTATGCCTAGTGTCGCATGTTGTTCCCTTTTATGTTTTCGGTTATTAATTTCAGATTATTGAAAGTTGTTTTTAATTTTCATTTTTTCAACTGATCCTCAAACTAGTTTTTTAGAAAAAGAAATGATGTGCACTAGGGTCCCCGATCTTCCGAAAGGTTCCGATAAACAACGATTTGGGCGGAGTCGCGACACAAATCGATCCGGCTTCTTGAACGCGTACGATCTTGAGCCCCGCAATCGCAGCACCACGTCTCCTCTGGTTATCACCCGTGTCGAAACACGGATGACCTCACCAAGAAGGCTAATCCCTGTTTGCCAATCGAAGAACACAAACAAGAACGAGATAGAAAAACAACCAAAATTGCAGATGAATGATTAAGCTCATGAGTTGGGGTCTTACAAACCGATCTAGCGGCGAAACTGTTCTCGACAAATTAATCTAAGCAAAACCCGACTCTAAACGATGACGACTACTGAATAAATATGATTAAGGACGTCCTAGGGTTGCCCTAGGGCGCACACCCCCTTGGGCTAAGCCCACGAGACAATTTCAAGGCCCAAAACCCAAATCAGATTCGGATTGGATGAGGTACATGGCTTGTTCTGCATATTCCCGGCAGCTCGGTAGGAATTTTGACGTGGGACCAAAACCATCTGAAAGTAGACTCCATAAGCTTTTCAACAAGTACTCATGGGCCCCGAAATTCCTTCTAGATCAGCGGCTAGGTCCGTTTGAAGTTGATGCTGTCAGGAGGCCCGAATCCGAATCCAAAACGTGTACAACTTTATCTCTTGTCTTCTATGGTCCAAAAGTGACGTGATGAGATGGAAGTGGACTTGAAGAAGGTCTTGATATGGTCCCCAATCAACTTTTTTGATCATCCATGAATTCGTTACGCTCGGTTTCTTGTCCTTTGCCTAAGCAAGTACCTCTGCAAACAAAAACATAGGAAACTCATTGTGTAGCAACGTTTGTTCAAATATATAACATGTAAATCTAATGTAGAACATATGCACCTTTGGTTGATCAATACATAACGTGGTCATGGTTATATCCAAACTAGTTGTGTCCTCATCAAGAAAGCTTTTATTGAACTCATCAGCTAATTACACAAAGATGATACAAAAGCACTGAGCACACTTCCGGCCTCTGCATAATTAACTAGAAATCTAGAATGTACACAGCCTTATCTTCATGTTTTGATCTGACAAAACATTGTTTTCTTGCGTATTGTGTAATCGCTACTCCATCTACTGCATCATTTAAGTCTTGTGAATGTGAGTCGTCCTATGACTGCCTGCGCAGCATGGAACAAAGTGTGAAGAAACCGAATCTAAACTAGGTAGCTAGCTAATTGCTGTTGATTTAGTCTTGTAGTAGGCAGGCACCAATTGCTTCAACTTGTTAACAACTTGGCATTACAACAAGCTAATTTCTACCACACTTCAGAAATCGAACTTGCCAATACCTCCCAAACCTACAGGTGGACCACACATGATTCTCTTCAAGCACATGAATATTTCTCCATCAGAGTTCTTTGCAACATTCTGATGTCAATGTGAGGTTTAATCTGAAATGCTTTAAGTCCCCCTCTAACTTGTATATGTGCTATAGATACAAATCATACAATAAGTACCATGTGTATGGATGTGGTCAATTGTATTTGCTATGCAGACAGATATATGCAGTCCTATGTGGGGTACAGCATTTACAATGTAAAAAAAAAAAGATAAACGAGTCTATATTAAGATCATAAATCATTTGTTTTGTTGACAACTGGGGACTTATGAATAAATCGTCCTAAGAGTGATTTAATTTAATTAGTCATGCATGGTTGCCTGAAGCATGTACATACAGCAGGCTCGGACAGTCAAATGCTATTCAAGCTGTTCCAAAGAAACTCGAAATTGTGTCAACTTTCAAACTGATCGACTGGCAAAACATATTTTTGTCCATGTAATATATCGAGTGGCACAAAATTAAATTAATTTTCTTAGGATAATATTTCAACATGAATAGTTATTGTGATTTTATAGAAGTCATCAAACTGTCATGTCAAGAAACATAAGACATAATCAGCAGTACATGACATGCAACAATAATTTTCAAGATATACAACATGGCAGTGAAAAAACGAAACAAATGTGCCAGTAAATGTGCCACTAAAGATATGAGAAGTGGCTAGACCATTAATTGAGCATATCATATCCGACTTGATCGAACATTGGAATATCGTTGCCATATTTGACTTTCTGAATCCTTCCAAGCCTAAATTCATAACTGTAACTATTAGAGAACTAAACTAGCCCAAGGTTGAAACGTTTCCCGGTGTAGGAAACGATAGAGGCAACTAATGGTTGAGAGGGCACATTTATAGTGCTATAATTTAGGGATGTCTCTTTATGTAACAAAAGCAGATGTAAAACCCAATAACCCTCGGTAAAAGAAGAAGAAGAAGTCTGTCCGTGATGGGTCTTGGCACTCGTTTTAGTCATTATAGTTGTTTGTTTATTAAATTAGTGGTTGAGAAACGCCTTTCCAAATCGAATGGATCGCAAAAAACCAATAGACAAATCAAATTCGATATTTTAGAGTTTATTGGGTTTATGGTAATTTGATATTGGAATATACAAACATAATCCAATAAATGGAAAACCGGGGAGGGGGGCGCGAATGGTAGGAATACCAAAAACCAAAAACTTTTAGTAGAACTAAAGTTACCCTCGAAGCCAATAGAGATTGGTCTGATTGCTTCAGTCTGACTGGTGTAGATAATGTCGGTTTGACCGTCCTTCGCGTCGCGTCGCATGTCACAATAATTGTATTACATACGCATAGAAATCATCTATAAGTCATGATCCCAAGATAATTGCGTATCTAAATAAACAACCCAAATCTAACACCGACACAGAGCTAGCCGGCCAGACCATCGGGCCGGGTTAACTGGTTTGACCAGCCTTTTACCACTCGATCTGACCTGTCCCACAGAAACAGTAAAATCTTCACTTCACCAATAATCTCCCAATATCAAAACCAACTTATCTTATATACCAATTGTTTATTATAAAATAATAATCAAAACACACTTTAATTTCACATTGACATGTTTATGTATTCCTAATTTGTGAGCCCGTTGATAGTCACAACTATCAAAGAAGCTAGATTGCTTGAGTTTCCAGGCTCCAGTTTGTTGAGTTCAGCTGTCTTGTCCCATTTGCACCTGCCTGTTTTTTCGATGAACTTGTCGCTGCTCTCTGGAAAGTATTGCCTTCATATGGGGAGTGATGCGTTCTCGGATTCCATGGTAAGCAGTCATTGGATTTTGGACTACATCTGAAAATCAGAACAGATGGGAAGATGGATTTCCTCGGATTAATCTCATTACTCAATGAAGCAAAAATGATTTGCAGAAATGCTTGATATGCAGCATGGTTACAGAGAAAAACTGTGAATTAATTTAATACAAGATGGTATTCAATTGCTAGAGAACCATTGTTTTACTTACGATGTGCACTCATTGGAGCAAGTAGCATCCCAATGTCTCCCATCTCTAGGAGCTAGATTGAGCTTAGTAATGTCAAAACTAATATCAGAAAATTTATTGAAGCATGACATACTCCTTGATGTATCCGAGTATTATGTGTATGTTTGACGCCCCACACTGACAACCTTCTTGAGCTCTTATAGCTAGCAAGCAGGGCTGACCACAACAAAGAAGCTCCACTGCTTCTGCACTGCCTTAATTCATAAAACGGGTTGCAATTTTTCTTGTTAATTATAATTTGATATACCTAACGAGCTATCACTATGATCAGGGCTAACGAGCTAGAGTTTTCCTGAGGCAATGAAATGTCAGCCGAATCTTTCAGACAAATGATCGTCCTGCAATCCTGCTTTTCCAATTGGTGCAGCAGTTCTGTTTTTTGTCAGTCTCAGAAATGCAGCTAGCTGAAAGCAAGCTCAGTAGTTATTGTGTTTAAGAACCGGGTGAGTTGACAAAATAAAATTAAATTTGAAAATTTGCAAGCACTAGAATTTTGGGCGAGACATGTCTGAAGGTACATCCTGATGCATCTCAACCCTACTCAAAAGTTCGATATAGCCATTGTTTCTCATCCATTTTACATGTGCCATTTCAAATATTTTGAGCTGTAAGAGACAGGTGCGAACCGATAAAAATATCATCCTCGTTGAGTCCTTTGTGCACCTATCTGGCCTAACTACAAAGAAACTGATCTCATAATAGTTGGATATAATTGTTGTTCAGGAACAGTACGTATGACCTACGACTGGAAGGTGCGGTTAAATCAATAGAAACAGTTATAGCTCCATATACAGAAGCTACATTATGGGGATAAATTGATAACTTTTGTGGATTATGTCCATATGCATAGATTAGTTTGCACACTAGAGCTCTGTATGATATCTGTAGTGCTTTTAAAAAACCTGAAAGCTTGGAGACTTTCATTCACTGAATAGCAAAGCTATTGTTTCAAAAACAAATGGAACACTGAGTCATTATTTCCTTCATCAATCAATTACACAAGTAACATAATGAGTAGCTGAGGTACCATACAACTATATAAACAAATGCTAGCATCAGTTGTCCTGTCTCTTGCCTTACCTTTCACAGTAAATTGGCATGTTAGTCCAAAGTGAGAGATGGAGTTTTGTTGCCTATGAGAGCACCTTTCCTTCATGCCAGCCATACATGCAAACAATGTCAAAAAAAAAAAAAAAACCATACACGCAAACACAGGCTGCTCTCAGTTGTGTTTGAGATTGGAATGCATCAGGAAATCCAACCAGCTAACTGATAAGAAGCCATCTGGAAATCTTGAACTAGCTAGTACATTGTCAAGTTTATCTGGCCATGACTAAACAGTCCTCAGAAAGAGTTCAAGGGTAGGTTGCTGCTGTGGATACTGTTGGGGGAGTGGCTTCGCCCTTCGCTTTCGGGAGAAAGGGAAGGCTCCTCCGGAGGAAGCTCCTGATGTATCTCCACTTGAATCCCATAGGATTTGTGGAGTGGAGCGCAACCCCTCCGGAGGCAGCCTCCAAAGACCGTCACCGGTGACAAGACTTGACCAGTCATTGCATATTCAATGCCCACACCAAATGGCTAAGGCGCTCCGCGGCGAGAGCAGGTGGGGCGGATGCAGGTGGTGCATCAGCATGACCAGTCACATCCGGGATCCAAGAGATTTCCCGAGTGCCGGAATTAATTCGACCAACCCTTTTGGACCTCTAGGATTTTAGCATTTTGGCCCCAAGGGCTGGGGCCACCTATCGGCCTCTAGCACCTGTTAACGAGGACAGGAGGCACCTTTGTAACTTCTCATACGTTCATGGGACTTATAATTCGTTCCCGGTGAGGGCGCAGGGGATAACGATATACAAAATTTCCACTGCTAGCTCTAAGCTCTTATAATTCATTCCCTGTTGGATTTTGTTCCAACAAGTACAATGCAAGTGCTGCATATTATTTTCAACAGTTTGAAAACATGTTTGTACACTTCACTGAATCTAATATGCATGAACATCACAATGTTATTCCTATGACTCATGCTGCTGTGGTTTACTTGCTGAAGTTTGTATAAATCATGAGCTGATATATTGCATGCGGCCATTAATGTTAATTGTTACCATTCACTCATCACCTTTTATTTTAGACTTTCCATCTAACATTTAGATTCTGTCATAAGGACGAAACCATTCAACATTTGTTCTTCCAATGCCATCTTACTCGCTTGGTTTGGTCTGTTATTCATTTGGCCTATAACTTACAACCTCCTCAAAATGTGACTCATATGTTTGGGCGTTGGCTTACATGTGTTCCTAAAGACATGAGAAATCTAGTTTTGATGGACGCAACAGCTCTTTGTTGGTCCATTTGGCTATGCAGAAATGGGGTAATTTTTTACAACAAGATGGTGTTTTCTCCTTTGCAGGTTATTACTTTAGTCACCCGGTGGCTTCGCACCTGGGTTATCCTCTACAAACCGGGTCTTCGGGATACTATTGTGGTAGTATCGCGACGTTTGGACCAGCTAGCACATGAGATTTTTACCCAGGAGTATGGTTGGCGATCTAGTCTACGGATTGATAGCCACTAATATTTCTGTTTTGTGAGAGGGGTCTTCATAGGTCTTTCTTTGTGTGTGGCTGTGTGCATTTTATGCAGAGGCCGGGAGTGGGCTCAGTTGAAATGTATCATCTTGGTGTATTTGACTGAGTTTTTAATAAAGCTTCCATTATCGAAAAAAAATCTAACATTTAGAGAACTTCTGAAGAACACTTAAATCTAATTTAAAATCTAACAAAGATGTTAATGTTCTGGAAGTTTGTACAGAAATACATAGGTCTTCAAAACAGATATATCATCACGAATGTACTATACTTCAATACATTTTTTTTAATGATAAGAAGCCCTGCTTTCTTATAGTACCTAAGTCATGTTTAATCTACCAGATCAATTTCAGTGAAGTACATGAAGGAAAAAAGAAGGATTGAAGGCATCAGATGGATAAAACAGTTTCATACTGGATACAATGACGGCAGTAATAGTTTCGTTCAGGTGCAGGTAATGATGGCCCAAAATGTAGGAATCGAGCTACCTACGGGGTAAAGGCGCAGCAACCTCTTCCTACATTTCCTGCCATGCCGCCATCTCCAAAGACCCCATCTCGAGCAGTCAATCCTCTGTTCATGATGCTTCCCAATCCTACACTCCCAGACCCTGCTGTAGGAGCTTGTAGTTAATTACTCCATTTGCAGATTCATGAAGTTGGATATATTTTTCAGATGTAGCAGCAATAAGTTTACACAATCAACTGGAAGTAACAAAGAATTGGGGTTACGCATGTAGCAGTAATTAGTTTACACAATCTTTTACTCCCAATCCCAGATGGACCCACAGCACAACATGCCACAGCTACAGGAAACCATCATCGTCGTCTACCCTTCCTTAAGATACGAGCTGGAAGTGACAAAGGAGTGGGGTTACAAACAATTTCGCTACTTTTGCAACGGTTCTTTGAGGTACAAGGATCGACGGCGAGAGCATGCGATCTGAAGTTAGCTGATGGAGTGGAGATCTATGGTGAGGTTCAGTTCCCCATGCCTTCCAATCTTAGCTAGCGATGACATCACAGTGGGTGTACAATACTATATGTTAGCTGATCGATCTTGATCGAGCAACTAACATCACTACCACTCAACAACAAACTTGACTATCGGAATCTCAAGTTTGACACAGCTCGATCAGAATGGATGGTGTGTGTACATATGTCTTATATAGAGGGGAAATTGGGGCCCAATAATCCTGCATGATTTTGCAAGTGCTCACTGGCTGACCAACCACCTGTGTGTAGGTGCTCAACACTGCTCGATCTGATTCGAACAGATAGGGGAAAAAATATGTAGTGCAAACCACATATGCAGTGAAAATTAATATATATGGAAGCTATCGTTGGATTCAAAATAGATTCCTAGTAATAAAAAATTATTTTAGATGACGTGGATAAATCTCAAACATCTATTTTTAAATCCAATGATAGTTTATAGGTTTTCACGACATGTATGATTTAAGCTATATATTTTTCTCAGATGGTGAGTGTGTATATGTCTTATATAGGGGGAAATTGGGGCCAATCGTGCATGATTTTGCATGTGCTCACTAGCTGACACTACTGGACAACCAATCTTTTATCGTGGTACCCAAAACACAAATATTTCAGTTAGATTTAGAACCGGTACTAAAAATTTCAATTTCTTTAGTTTCCCAATAGTCCAAGTCCCAAAATATCTTTAGTTTTCGGTTGGTGTACCAACCGGTACTAAAATTGTATCTTTAGTACCGGTTGGTAACCCCAACCGAGACTAAAAATAGAGGATCTTTAGTCGGGGTTAGTGTTACCAACCGGTACTAAAAATGAAACACGGACTAAAGATATTTTTAGTGTCTACAAAGTTGGTTCAAAAAGAAAGCATGTCCATTCAAGATAGATGTGTGTAGTAGGTGGGATGGTAACATGTGTGAGGGCTTAGGTGAGAGATCTTGAGTTCAAGTCCTACATCCTACACATTATTTTTGATTTAGTATGCATCTATAGTACCGGTTCTTTTAACCAATAATAAAAATGATTTAGTATGCATCTTTAGTACCGGTTCTTTCAACCAATAATAAAATTGCTTTAGTATGCATCTTTAGTACCGGTTCTTTCAACCAATAATAATCTTTAGTACTGGTTCTTTCAACTAATAATAAAAATCTAGATCTTTAGTCTCGCTTTACTAGTCTCGGCTTCTACAACCGAGAATAAAGAGGGTTCTAAACCTGATAATAATTTTTAGTACCGGTTCTTTCAACCAATAATAAAAATCTCGATCTTTAGTCTCGCTTTACTAGTCTCGGCTTCTACAACCGAGAATAAAGAGGGTTCTAAACCCGAGAATAAAGAGGGTTTTAAACAAGTAGTAAAGATGCTTTCTCTAGCACTGTGAGGAGGCTCAACAGGGAAAAAAATGGGTTCTCAATTATTTCAGATCAAGTTACTTTGAGACCTTTAGGAGATTGGCTCTTTTCGGGCATGGTTTTTACCTTTTATTCACCTCAGTTATATTGAGTGTATCTAGCTGGTCACTTAGGATAGGCTCTGATCGATCTCTAATAATATGAACCCATCACAAGAGATTGAGGGTATTCTTGGTTGCACAAACAATCCCTTGCTGGGAATTGAGAACATGACTAGAAGTAATAGAAGCACAGTAACCTACATTTGTCTGCGTTCTTTTATCATTGGGAGCAATCTAGTCGGTTAATACATTTTTGAAATACCATCCATTCTGATTTATACAGGTGCTATGGAAAAAAGAGTACAATTTCGTAGGCATTGTCACCGAGAAATTAAAATGGTTTTCAGTTAATTATTCAGTATCGCGGTGAACTGATAAACTCCTATTCAGTATTCCAAATAAGAATTTGTAGAACTGATTTTTTTTTCAGAAGTATGCTAATTCAACGGTATCGTTTGAAGCTCCTCCACTGAACGCTGTAATCCATCACCTGCTGTGGCTCTAGAGCCCCTCTTGTGACCCTCCTTGATTTGAAGCAATATTATAATTGTCAGGATTAATCAGTTCCATGCATAATGAAATCCATATATATGATTTGGACGTATAAGTACTACTCCCTCCGTTTCACAATCTAAGTCATTTTAGAATTTCCCACATTAATATTGATGGTAATGAATCTAGAAATATATATCTATCTAGATTCATTAACGTCAATATGAATGTGGGAAATGCTAGAATGACTTACATTGTGAAACGGAGGAAGTACAAGCTGGCTTTCATCACTATTGAATAATTGATTTTCATGGACACAGTAGGACCAAAGACCAACTTAAGGTAAGCTTTCTTTCTCCTTTCTTTTTAAATAATGAAAGGTGCAGTTTAATTAAATGAAGTAATGGCTGTTATCACTTCGATCCATAGCCAGTATACGTGCATGGCCCAGTCTTCTGCGTTTCAATTCTGTGAAAATAAAGAATGCTGCAACATTTCTAGCTGCTCTGCATTTTCACTCATTTAGTTTTGACCTTATGAATGTCATCATATTTGATGAATCCATCCAAACTTATTTGAAATTTAAATCAGTTTTAGAAAGCGAAAATTATTTATTTGTCAGTCAAAGTTAATGAGTTTAATTTTTATCATTGAAAATTTGCTATAATATTACATCTGGTTCAACGAGAGATTCTAGATTCGATAATACGTCATTCGCAATTAACCATAAATTGAAGTACCATCTGACTAGAACTTGATATGGATCTAAGGATCAAATGACACAGTGACACTGGTAGTCCCAATATCCAAGACAATGACACAGCATCACTCATCACCAACTTAGAAGGCACGATTTTTTTTCGCATCTGAGACTAAGAATTCTAACCTCTCATTTCAAGTTGTTAACTTCACTCCAATTATTGAAGCAAATCATGGATGGCTGGTGGTGATTCTCACACGGTATTCGTATCCAACGCAACAAACATGCAACAAATATTGTGGAATAGAGCAATCATATATAGATCTTTACTTACAAGAGGAAGCATCATCCATAGGATTGTCCTTGTGTCTCCCGATCCTAGTGAAGTGATGAATGAACTCAGATCGACTGAATGATATCAAATCGATCACTCTAGTCTCAGCTAGCTTGACTGCGTAAATTTTATTTCTCTAAAGACATATTTTCCTTGTAGATTATTGTAAAGTCGATTTTCAACCTAACCATACATATATATATATAGAGGTGCCCGGCTCCTATATATATAAGGAGCTAGCTCAACTAAAACGTACTCCCTCCGTATTTTAATGTATGACGCCGTTAACTTTTTGACAAACGTTTAACCTTTCGTCTTATTCAAAAAAATTATGTAATTATAATTTATTTTATTGTGATTTGATTTATCATCAAATGTTCTTTAAGCATGACATAAGTATTTTTATATTTACATAAAAATTTTGAATAAGACGAGTGATCAAACGTTGATTGAAAAGTCAATGGTGTCATACATTAAAATACGGAGGGAGTAATAAATACGTGTTTCTCTTGGTAATTGGAATGGTAACATTCTACTTATCTTTATCAAGAAAAAAGCACTCTACTTTATCAGAATTTAATATATGTTTAGCACACAAAAACCAATAGTAAATTATAATTATAATTTTTGCTTAATCTAGGAGAACTGTCCACTGCTCAACACATATCATATGTCCTTCTTCTGTCTTTCTCTAAACACTGGAGGGTTCTTCGATCGGGACAAACTTTTTCTCGAGGCAACGAAATGTCAGACAAAGCTCTCGCAAATGCAGCTACATGAAACACAATATCGGAAGTTATTGTACGTAAGAAAATGGGTGCAGGAGATGACAAAATAAAAAATAAATGGTAAAATTGCAAGCTGTAGCGTTGTTAATTTCCTGATGAAAGATATGTGGGTTACTCACATCCTTCTGTCTTCTCTGAATGTACGTACGTACATCCTGGTGCATCCCAACCCGACGTAAAATTCCAATCGACCTCACAATCGATCGATCGATCGATGCCATTGTTCACTGGTGCCATTGTAGACATTGTGCGAACGGATTATAAATATAATCGTTGATTTCTTGTTCAGTCCTTTTGCACTTACCCTAGCTAATTAACCACCAGAAACACTCACAACTGTTGCATATATAATTGTTGTTCAGGAACAGGGTTTGCAATTTCAAAACCCTGGTTTTTGCCGGTGGGGGCCTAAAGAACCGAAATTTTGGTATTTTTCAGCCGATTTGTTTTTTAATTTTTAACATATTTTGACTGAATTTGAACAAATTTTGACCAAATTTGCAAATATTTAAGAAAAATAAAAAATGTCATGGAGATTTGTGCTTGCCGGTGGGGACCAAAATATCGAACTGAAATTCAAACACTGTTTACAAACAGTATGACAAAGGATCGAAAGATCCAGTTAAATTGACCAGAACTGTTGTCATCTCTATATAACAAGAGATTATATTCCATTATCTAAAAAATATGACTAGAGATTGAACGGAACACACCAGTCAAAATTGTGTGCTTGTAACAGGGTTTCACCTGTATGTTTTACAATCCATCATACCGGCTGGAGATAAACTACTAGTAGCTAGTCTTCTGTGTTATACATACACAGATTAGTTTGCAAATTAGAGCTAAGGTACGAAATTTGTTGCAGATTCGGGAAAAAAGGTGCAAACTCACAGGCGTTCCTTCACAAAGCACCAAGCAATTCTTTGACAAAACAAATAGAACAACAAGGCATATTAATTGGAGTACTGTGTAAACAATAATTATTTTACTGTTCAAACTATTAATCTTCGCATTTGCTGTTTAGATCTACTGTCGCACTTTGTTTTGGACCATTGGATGTGGATCTAACAACAAACAGCATACCCTAATGCACTGCACTGTAGCTTCCTCTGCAGTCTCTTCATCACTGCAGAGGTTCCAAATTGGACCTTGATATATATAACTGGAATCCCGGAAGTTTACAATCAGATCCTCAAGAAGAGGAGATATACACGGAATGTCGGAATACAATAGATCGGCTTACAAACTCTAATAACTTTGCCCCTTTTACTCCCCCTGTTAGAAACATCAGAATTAGGGTGTGTTTGGTTGGACCGTGGCTTTTAAAAAAGCAGCTGTGGGCTGTGACTTTTTGAAAAGTAGCTTTGCAAAAGTAACTGTGAGGAAGCCAAAAGCTTGTTTGGTTACACACAGGTGGTTTTTGGAAAAGCTTCTTACCTGACGAGTAGACCCCACATGTCATGCACACAGGTATCTTTCTCTTTCTCTTTCTCTTTCTCTCGAGTCTTAACACAGGAAGCCAGGGGAACGCCGCTCGTCGCCGGCACCGTTCGGTACTCCTTGCCGTTTGCCGCGCCACCTATGCCGGCGCAGCCGGCCTCGTGCTCCTCCGCGTGGAGAGCGGGAACTCGCGGGCGAGCGTGCTGAGACGGAGCGACTGGGCGGCGGCTCGTGGAGGCGGCGCGGCGTTAGGCGAGATAGGCGTCGGGCGGGGAGGAAAAGAGGCGGCGGCGAGCAGGGAGGGCGGCGGCCGGCCGGCCGAAGAGCAAGGGCGGCGGCCGGAGGGCAGGGACGAAGCGCCGCTCGATCCCCACTGCTGCGCGCGTGTGAGAAGCAAGAGAAGACGAATAGATTAGCGAACCGTTTTTCCATAATGGCATAGGTGGGTAATTTTCTCCCCCAAAAGCAGGTGAAAGCAGGGGTAGAGGTGCTTTTGATTTGTACTACACCAAAAGCTGGTTTTGGGCAAAAGCAGCTGTTGCTTTTGGGCCCTTTGGTTGGCTTTTGGCTTTTGCAAAAGCAAAAGCAGGTTGAAAAGCCCAACCAAACACACCATTATTATGATTATGATGTACCATGCACAATGAAATCCGTGTAATCTGCAGTTGGATTGCGTGTATTACCAGAATAAATAATCCTACATTTCGCGCATACAAGAGAGTGCAAGAAAAATCTTACATAACAGTCGTTAAATATCTGTGTTGTCTTCCTATTAAAAAACTCAACTGGAGATCAGTGAGGCTAATCGCTACGAGAAATAAGTTGTCGGCCAAAATGTAAACACCAGGAACTAAAAGCAATCGATAACTTCTTGTCATCTTCTTTTGTCTCAACTAGATGAGTCCCTGGCACCACAAGAAACCTCTGAAGTGACACTCGAGCATGCAGGATCTGGTTAAGTGGTGGTAGAGAGTTGGCATAGACAACTCACTCTTTCTCCAGGTGGCCGGCAACAGCTAATGAATGATTGGTATCGCAAACCAGCAACAGCTACTTAGGGGCATGCATTGTAGTGTAGCTGATTTGCCTACCAATAGAAATTATGTTCTCAATCTTCAGTTCCTGATGCTTCCCAATCCTAGCCTCCCAGATTCCTGCTGATGGAGCTAGCTAGAAGTACTCCCATCTGTAGATAAGTGGAAGTTAGATTTTGCTTTTAGTTTATAGTCTCAATTGAGTATAGTTGAACTCTATCTGTTCTTGCATTACTCACATTTGTTCATTTCTCCCAACTTCCATGAGCACAAACCAATCTGTGTTATATGTATACGATGGTGGCCTTTTCATTCTCTATCCATTAGTACTGTAATTGAAGTGACTATTACGTTTGTACAGAAAATGGCATTGAATGTGTTGATACAATCACCACTGCTGGTTCCAATTTCTGAATGCCTTTTTTTTAGACATCAACTATGGCGATTCACCAAGCCGAATGCACACTTCTTCCACAGATTTCATAAGTAGATAAAATTTACATGAACCGAAGATATTGAGTTATGTTTACATGGGAGAACTCAAACAGTATGTCCCTCCGGCAGTGAATGTACACTGCATAATTGTTGGTAATCTGAGCAATGCTTCAAGTCCCTGATTCCAAACATTTAATTTTAACCTTTTCCGAGTTCTGAATAAAGTCTTACTGATCGCCTTGACTGATTCTATCAAACACTTACTGGCTTCACTGACCACTTCTAAATTAAGCGTGCTTGCATGCTCTAATACGATTACTGATCCGTCACTGAATAAGATGATTGCTGACAGCCAGACGAGACGAAGCAGCAATTACCATCACCGTGGCCAACGTGGCACTCAAGATTACTGGCCTAGTTTGTTGCCTGGCGATGCAAGAGCAGGCCGATCGAAGAGAGGCGTCATGGATGATTTCGTGGCATTATCTTCAATTTCACGAGGTACAAGGATCAATGGTGGAAGAATCAATACGCTAGATTGGCGACCGGAGATTTGTGGCAAGCTTCAGTTCCTGATGCCTTCCAATCGCAATTAATATATAGTGTCATAGCTAGATAATTTTGATCGATCAAGCAGCAGCAGCAGCAGCACTGCACAACAATGAACTTGAGATCACTTTGAGAGTGCAACTGTGCAAGCTTAGATGCAGCTGGAATAGATGGAACATATGTTTTTATGCAGGTGAACTTGTGGCCCTACATTGTGCAAGATTTTGCAAAAGTTTTGGTGTGTGTTATCCTACCTACGCGCTTGAAAGCTGTATAGTCTCAGCATAGAACATACGTATAGTCTATCTATCTATCTATTATATACTAAAAGTGCAAAAAGGAATGCTTTCCAATGTCTTACCTTGGTTTACCTCTGTCGGTTCATAAACTAAGCTCTGCAGATTTACAACCGATGGTTACAAAGGTTGATCATTTCCTGGCGGGTTGGGAGGCATCCATTCTATCCCAGGCTGAAAGATTACTGTTGATTAATGCTGTTCTCAGTAGCCTACCAGTCTATGCAATGTCAGCCTTTAAGCTGCCTGCAAAAATAATAGAAGAGATTGATAAACGTCGACGAGCTTTTCTGTGGACAGGAGAAGATGCATGCTCGGGGGCAAAATGTCTGGTTGCGTGGGACCTGGTGTGCAAGCCGAAAGAACGAGGGCTGGGAATCAAGGATATTAAATTGCAAAACGAAGCACTACTCCTCAAACGCTTATTCCTGTTATACTCATCAAACTCAGCATGGGCATCTTGGCTTTGGGAGGAATATAAAGATGATTCTCTGCTAAAATCTCTGCCATTAGGTCCGCATTGGTCCTCTATGCAAAAATTGATACCTGAGTTACAACACCTCACTTCGGTTCAAGTGGGAGATGGGGCTAGAACTTCTTTCTGGCATGACTGCTGGATCTCCAAGCCAGCCCTGGCAAATGTGTTTATGCCGCTATACACTCATGCCCTTAACAAGGATGATACTGTCAGAAATGTCATGCAGAGGGGTTTAGTCTCAAGTCTTGTTCCACGTCTTACTGTGACCGCAAATCTCGAACTACAAAGGCTACAGGCGGCTCTACAATCCTTCACCCTGTCAAATGAACCGGACAAACGAACTTATGGGACAAAAGCAGCGCCAAATGTAACTTGCAAGCAGTTTTATGAAGCTAGGCTCTTACCGGGAATCGTTTCTCCCCTTTGGGACGCCATCTGGAAGTGCAAAGCCCCCCTCAAAGTGAAGTTCTTCGCCTGGCTGCTAGTAAAAGATCGTTTGTCGACAAAGAAAAACCTACACAAGAAGACAATTGTGCCAAATGACATCTGTGACATTTGCAATGGCGCTACTGAAACAGCAAGCCACCTGTGCTTCTTTTGCCCCTTTGCTAAAAGTTTTTGGGATAAAATTGGGGTTCAACCGATGATCCAGGATGTGGCTCAGTTCCATCAGCACAAGCCAGGTTCACGAATACCAATTCTGCACTATCAAGTCTTTTATCTACTCTGTTTTTGGGCACTGTGGAATCATAGGCATGATGTTGTCTTCAGAGGGCAAACTCCCTCCATCACCTCATGCCTACAGCGATGTATACATGAAGCCGCCCTCTGGGCTAAAAACCTCAAGTCTGAAGATCGCTATGTAATACAAATTTGGAAAGAAATCTTCTCTTCCCCATTACAATCTATTCACTCTATGTAATGAACCTTTTCTATTGCCTTTCAATGCAATGACAAAATTCAGGTGGGGAAGCTCTCCCCCTGGTGATTTGGTCAAAAAATATTATATACTAAAAGTCCATTAAACTTCCTACAAACGCTCTCAAGTAGCCACGTGGGACTCCTATAAACGCTCCTATGCCGCCACGTGGCACTATCTAATCTCACCGTCGATTTTTATTTAATTGGTGGACCCGCTATTTTATACCATTAGATTAGATCTATATGTATCGTTGATTTTCATTTAAATTGGTGGGCCCATTACTTTAGAATAATCATTAGGTGTGTGTATATAATATCTTCCCTGTGTAAAAGTGAGAATACATACCGTCGACAAAACAAAAAATACCAGTACGTATGATTCAGAAAAAAAAGAAAAGCTTCCGTTCGATTCGCCGGAATAAAAAAATTGCCAGTGTCAAAATGAGATAAAGGCAAAAAAAAAATTAGTACAACGTATCATCGGAAGAAAATATATAAAATATAATTTTCTACCGTATAAAATAAAGCAAAAATCCATATGTACGTAGTACTATCTATCTATCTATTATATTCTAAATAAAATCTATTAAATTTCCTACAAACACTTCCAAACCGTCACATGGCATCCTAATAAAATAGAGAAATCTAACCATCGATATTCATTTAAATCGGTGGACTTCGTTAGATCTATCTTAGAATACCAAAACCTCCCATGTCCCCATATCCGTGTACCACGCACGTATCAATTTGTAGGCTCCCTGTTCCTTTCTGTTTTTTATCCCTATCATAATTAAAATTAAAATTATCTTTATGGAAAATAATCTCATAAATAGGCGTTAAAGTCTATTAAACCTCTTATAAATATTTCTAAATCGTTGTATGACATTCTTAAATTATAGAAACATCCATCCATTGGCTTCCACTTAAATATGAACACATTATTTTACATCATTATTGATATATTTTCTAATAAAAAACATCCCAAACCATATTCCCTTCCTCTACATCCCTATACGCGTTTTGCTAAGCTGCCACTTGTCAAAGTTAAATTAGAAAACAACTAATAAATCTGAGAAAAAAATAACATCCAACCATCAGTTTTGACTTAAAATTCAACACATTATATTTTAGGTCATCAGATCAATCAATTTTTTTCTAAAAAAAAGAAACATCCCAACCCTCCCTCCATCCCCGTTGCCGTGTGGTGTGCGGCCTTACTTTTCTCTGTTTTTCTATCTCTATGATAATTAAAATTATTTTTATGGGCAAAGAAAATACCACAAGCGAATCTCCATCTATTAGGTCTAGCCAATTATTATTATTTTAAGTGAAAACAATAACTTAATGCCCATATTGACTGTATTTAAGTGCTAACAAAAAATTACATTATGGACCCACATCCATATTGTAGCCTCTACTTACTAAAGGTAAAATTTACTACAAGATATAAAAAAAAGTGTAATTAGCTAAGAGATACTGCAATAACGTATATCTGCTATGGGACACTGCAAAAAACTGGTAATTAGCTGTTAGATACCCGCGGCATTACTTTGTTATATCCAATGGAAAGGGGGAGAGAAACAATTGCGAAAGTATGATTTTGCCCCCTTCCTGCCAAGTGTGGCTCGCATATAGCTCAGACGTCGTGGTAGTCACGACATGGGAGGTGGAGGGTATGGCATCGTGGCGTGGTGCGGCTGCGAGACTGACAGCAATAGCTTGTGCTTTGCGGCGCCCTGCTCGACATGAATCAGGAGGTGGTCCACGTTGTGCTAACCCCAAGCGCGGTGTGTGGCGGAGCATTGACACCAACATGGCCCTTGCACTGCAGCAGCGACGAGTGCAAGAACGACATGGAGCCACGGGCCCAGGCGCATGGGCCCTTCTCGAAACCCCCTCCCCCCACTAGACAGCCATCTCACTGGCGGCGGGTGCGGTTGCAGTGTCGGAGGTGTTTGCGAGTTGAACTTGGTAGGCAAGGGGCAAAATCATACTTTCGTTATTGTTTCTCTGTCCATTTCCTTTGGATTTTATAAAGTTTTTTCGGTGTCCCATAACTGATACGCGTTCTTACGGTGTCCCCGGTTAAGTACATGTTTTGTTTTTTAGATGTCCCTAGCAAATTTTACCCTAAATAAAATAAAATACTAAAATTTCTCACTAAAAATCAAAATATCCCAGTCGATTTTTTTTATAAAACTGGTAGACCCATTACTTATATCCCATTAGACATCTAACGACTTTCTATCAACTTAATTATTTTTCTCTCAGCGTGTATACAAAAGCTATTTACCCATACGTTTTGATATTGATGCTTTTATCAATAAATGATCATTTTAGGAGATAAATAAATAATCTTAAGATGATCGTAGCGTCTAAATTATATATATGATCTATGAAGTCATGTGGCCAGTTGAACAACATACTAATTGTACTAAGCATGTTGGTTGCACCAAGGAATCTTAAGAGTGAAACAACCTGATGTCGCCTCAGCAATATATAACCCAATTCCATATAGGAATTTAAAGACCGTATCCATTTACTTTTTGGTAAAACTTGCTGCAGTACATCGTGAATTTGTGACATATAGCATGGAACAATCTACAAACGTGTGATTCTTACCTGACGCTCCAGTTTAGCGGTAATTTGCTAAGAAAATACTATGGCCTCTATATTAATTTTTTTTACATAATTGGAGCGAGATAATTTAGAATTATGGATGCCTTTACGCCATGCCAAGTTGTAGGATCAACCCACTTATATTGAGATCAAAGCATTTCAAAGATGCTTCATATAGTGGATTTGTCCAAAAAAAAATGAAGATAAAATGAAATTAAAATTAAACAAAATTTATCTAATTTTAAAATTCTTTTTGTTGGGTTTATAACCCATTCTAGATAGAAATATTCAAACATTTTAGCAGGACTAAAAAATGAAAATATTTAAAATTTCAAATAAAATCTAACAAAAGAATTGGACATTCATAGGAAACACATCAATTGTTTCGTTACAAAATTTTCTCATGAATTAAAAACAACACGGTTTGATGTAATTTTAGTTCACAATTTATATGTTGCAAGTAACCAACGTTCAAAGCATGTTAAATAAGTTCAATTTTAGTTTATGATAATGTAAAATAATATTTTGGATAGAAAACCATCTACACATGGACATTCGTAATAAAATTTTACGCACATGCCCGCGCATATGCGCGGGCTATCTTCCTAGTTATTATATACTAAAAGTCCATTAAACTTCCTAGAAACGCTCCTAAACCGCCATGTGGCGTTCCTATAAACGCTCTTAGATTGCCACGTGGCATTTTATAATCTCACCGTCGATTTTCATTTAAATTGGTGGACCCATTATTTTAGACCATTAGATTAGATCTATTTGCTTCCTACCTACGTACGCACAATGGAAAGAAAAAGGAAAATCTCACGTCACGTATGTACGCGGAAAAGAAAAGGAAAATTTCACGTACGTATGCATCATGGGAAAAAACATCTCACGTGTGTACCCACAATTGAAAAAAAACTTTAGATACTGTTCATTAAAAATATAATATATATATATATATACGTCGGTAAAAAAATAGATGGTTTTTTAAAATAGTATTTTCTATAGTAAAAAACAAAATTTATTACTCTACAAATATGGTAAAAAAACATATGATTTAAAAATATATGTTTTCAGCTACTCGGGCATTCTTCTTATTAGTGAGACTTTAAAAAGTCGATCTAACAATAACAATATATAGTCACTTTCTATTTTATTTATGCATGCCCAGTGAAGTAGTACAAGATGAAATAATATATAGTCACTTTATTTTTATAATTTTTTATACATGTTTGAATGACATTCAAGGGATACTAAATAGAAGTTAGAAGAATATACATTTTACAAGTGAAGTAGACAACATATGTCATAAATTCTAATTGTGGTTTTTATCGTAAATAACATAATGGTCCAAATAGATAAAAAATGAACGTATGATTTAAAAGTTTAAAATTATGATGATATACAATATATTGTTACAAATAAATATATAATTTAGAAGGATGTAGTAATTTAAAAATTATTGTTGCAAATATTTTCATAAAGAGAAAAAGGGAGAAAAATTAATCAAGAGGATAAACTTCCTACAAACCCTTATAATCTTCCACAAGTACCATATAAATGCTCATATACCATCATGTGACATCTAATAAATCATAGAAATTATAAGAAAAAAGCAAAACATTCGACCATCGATTTTCATTTAATCTGGTGGAACTATTATTTTCAACCATTAAATCTATCTTAAAAATTACTAATTAAATTTATCAATAAAAAGGCCCACGTCATAGTGCCACTACCGTCCAATATACTTGCACGTAGGTACGTAGGTATTCCTCCTTAAGAAAAGTATGTACCTACGTACAGTACATACACATGTATTTCTCCGTAAGAAAAAAATATGTACTTATGTATGGTATGTACATACGTCGGGTCCCACATCCATATTTTTTCTTTTTTTTATCATTTAGATTTGATGAGAAACCAAACTAATAATTAAACCCATATTAACTATGCTTTAAGTTGTAAAAAAATATATGCTATTTCCAGTTGTATTAAAATTAGGTGCATGTCATTAAAATAAATAAATTAAAAGTATAGATTATGTTGTTGTTAAATTAGACTTACATTTTTCAAAATAAAAACAACTTCAACTATGGGTAGAATTTTCAAAAATTACTCACTCCCTATTATAAAAAATACTTATATGGCAAAAGGATGTTCTAAATTTATCATAAATATATTTTCATGTATTATGTGTTTACTCTATTTATATATTACTAGAAAATTGAATATCAAATATATTCATTTGACACCATATCAATATCCTTTGTCTCCTACTTATCCTTCGTTCGCTCTGGCTCATTGATTTAGCTTATCAAGGGCACGCGAAAAGACACAAGTCATTAGCACATGAATAATCGAGTATTAAATATTACAAACTTGAAA